CAGCGCTGTGATCCCCAACACGGAACATTCCAACATTCCAGCCCTGCAGCTGCCGGCAGCATCCTCACCCCGGCCACAGAACATTCTACCCCACCCCACGGCGTCCCCACCCCGGACGCAGCAGCTGCAGACCTGATTTCTGTCACTGGAGAGGAGCTTGGCCTGTTCTAGAACTTTGTAAATGGAATCACATAGTGTGTGGCCTTTGTGTCTGTTTTCTGAGGCAGACCCAGCCCTGCACCCAGGTCAGGCCACTCTTGAGGTCAGGGCACAGCTGTGTCCGCCTCCCCACCACACGCCACAGCCCTCAGATGAAGGTCTGCACAGGAGCGGGCCCGGGACCCAAAAAGACAGAGCAGCGCTAAGGGGACCCCGTGCTTCCCGCTCCACCCAGGGGCTCTGTAGCCTGACCCCAGGAAAGCAGCATGGGCCCAGGTGCTGGGCGGCTCTGGCAGGTCTTCCACCACCTTTGCCTCACTTTCCTGGTCTGGGGCGCTGGGGTGGATACCCAGGAGCCCCCTGGTCGCCCCAGGTCTGAACAGTGTGAAGAGGAGCTGGGCCCGGTTCCCCTCCTGGGCCTGTGGACAGCCTGGCCCAGACCCAAAAGTTCCATTCCCACCTGCCCAGCCCCTCCTGGGCCGCCTCTCGGTGTCTGAGTGGGCATGGGTGGAGCGCTTGTCCCGTGGGGCAGCCCAGGGCAGGTGTCCCGTGGGTAGAGTGCCCTGAGGGGACATGAGCTCTGGGAAGGGGTATCACGGAGTGAGGACCAGAGAGGACCCTCCCCACCATGAGCCGTGCAGGAGCTGCTTCCCACCAGAGCCCACCATACCCAGCCCGAGCCCTGGGTGACCTGTCTGTGGTCACTGTCACCATCAAGGCTCCTGTGGTCACCATCGCAGGCGCAGGCTCTGAGTGGCTGTGGCGGGCCCTGGACAAGGCTGAGAGGGACCACAGTTGGCCTTCGGGGAAAGGCCCCCTCTGCCACCGCAGGGCCTGATCTGGGAGGTGGTGGTGACCACTGGGGGGACGGAAGCCAGCCCTGGGTCCAGCCCCTTCACCCACCAGAACTTACCTGCTCCCAACCCCACTGACCCTGTTCTGTGGGAGGGGCAGGCACAGGCTGTTCCCAGGCCCAGCAGGCCCAGATGGTGACCTGGGAGCGGCTCCACTCAGGCCAGGATAAAGAGATTCAATCTGGCCACCCACAGGGGCCTGGGCTGCTGTGCTTGGGACATGGGGGTAGGGGCCAGCAGGACACCCCACTCCACTGGGTCAGCCTGACTTGACTCCAGCAAGCAGACAGGTGGGCAGGCAGACTCCCTCTCTCTGGTCTGTGTCCAGCCCCAGGCCTCTGGGCTCACATGCCGGCAGACATTCCTGGATCACCTGCCTGGCCTCGGCTCCACGCCACCTGCTCCCAGCCCCGTCCCCTCATGCAGACATCGGGAAAGGGCTTTCAGCCAGGAAGTGCTGGTGCCTCTGGGGGACTTGAGGGGAGGAGGTTCACACAGGGGCTACCACCAGGGCCAGAGTGAGTTATGTCACCCCAGGAACGATGGCATGAGGGGGGCTGTGGTAGCTGGAGTCCAAGACAGAGGGAGGGCTGTGTGGAGGGGCCCCCTGACCACTGATGGGGGGAACACAGCCTCCATCCAGGATTGAAGACTTCTGGGAGAGAGACCATCCTGCAACCCAGGTGGGAGCCAAGTGGCCAATGGGACGGCACAGCCACTCTGGGCAGGGCCAGTGAAGCAGAAGGGGTTGGCTGGGGCCCTGGATCCAGCCAGGCCTGAAGTCCGCCCTCCCCATAGAAGCCGGGAAGGAACACAGGCCTAGGCAGCATCTCCTGTCTCCCCAGCCAGGAGTTGATGTGGAGGGAAGGGGAGTGTGTTGGGCTTTGCAGAGACACTGCCAGGGAAGAGGAGGGTACCGTTGAGGAGTCTTATTCTCTGCTTGTGCCTTTGTCCAGGGAGCTGGCCACCACCGGAGGGTGTAGCTGGGTGCCAGGAAGGCGGTGGCTCCCACCTGCATATGGTGGTCATGATCTTGCAGCCGGGGTTATGTTCCCTGCCTTGGGGGAGGGAAGCTGGCAGGGGCAGGGTGACCCTGCCAAGAGACCAGCCAGCCTTCCTGAACCTCACAGTTTCACCATCTGTGCAGAGGGACTGAAAAGGATTCCCACTGGCAAAGGCTGTGCCAGGTCAAAAGGGAGAAGGTGGCCTCCAGAGTCTCTTAGGTTGTCAGGGGTAGGGTAGGGCTCTCTTCTCAAGCTGAGCCTCTCTAGGCCACTCCTCTCTTTTGGCCTGGGTTCTGTGCCTGGACCCCACAGAGGAGCCATCCCCTACTACAGCCAGGCATCGGGTGAGGGCATGGCCCAGGCCCTGGGCTGGTGAAGGCACAGGTCCTGGTCCTGCAGAGTGAGTCTCACTCATGGGGACACCGTGGCCCAGCAGGAGGAGTGATGAGGAGAAGGAGTAAGAGAGTAGAGAGTGAGGCCATTGCTCTGGGGGATCTTGTGTCTGACCCCCACTCCAGGGTGGAGGGACCCTTCCTTGATATATTCAGGAAGGAACACCCAACAAGCCCTTTCTGCCAAAAGACAGCCACCTTCACTCTCAACCTTCCCAGGGTTAAATCTAATACATGCCAGGCCGTGGTCCAGGATTTCTGACACCCAGGCTTGTGTCCTCATGACCACACAGTATAGAATGTCTCCCAATCCAGACACAACCAAACTTGCTGCTTTCAACCTCAGCCTCCTCATCCAGAGCACAAGAAAAAAAGAGCAAAAAATCATCGTCCATCCAACTATCCATCCATCCACCCCTCCATCCATTTATCCACTAATCTACCCATCCATCCACCCACCTACCCATCATCCAACCATCCATCCATCCAACCACCCAGCCATTATCCAACCATCCATCCATCCATCTACCCTTCTATCCACCTATCCATCATGCAACCATCAACCCATCCATCCACCCACCGCTCCATCCATCCATTTATCCACCCACCCACCCATCCATCCATCCATCTACCCTTCTATCCACCTATCCATCATGCAACCATCAACCCATCCATCCACCCATCCATCCATCCATCCACTAATATACCCATCCATCCACCCACTAATCTACCCATCCATCCACTCACCCATCATCCAACCATCCATCCACCCACCTACCCATCATCCAACCATTCATCCACCCACCCACCCAATATCCAACCATCCATCCATCCATCCACCCATCACCCAACCATCCATCCAACCATCCATCCATCCATCCACCCATCACCCAACCATCCATCCACCCACCTACCCATCCATCCACCCACCTACCCATCCATCCAACCATCCATCCATCCATCCACCCATCACCCATCCATCCACCCACCTACCCATCCATCCAACCATCCATCCATCCATCCACCCATCACCCAACCATCCATCCACCCACCTACCCATCCATCCAACCATCCATCCACCCACCCACCCAATATCCAACCATCCATCCACCCACCCAATATCCAACCATCCATCATCCAAACATCTACCCATCCATCCATCCACCCACCCCTCCATCCATCCATTTATCCACTAATCTACCCATCCATCCACCCACCCATCATCCATCCGTCCATCCATCCATCCATCCACCCATCATCTAACCATCCATCCATCCACCCACCCACCCAATATCCAACCATCCATCCATCCATCTACCCATCTATCCACCCATCCATCATCCAACCATCTATCCATCCGTCCATTCACACACCCATCCACCCATCCTTCCATTTATCCATTTATTTGCTCATCTATCCATCCATCCACCCACCCATCATCCAACCATCCATCCATCCATCATTCAGCAGCTTTCTCTGTGTCAGGCGCCATGTTGGAATGTGGGATAGAGTGATGGACAAAGCAGGCCTGTGCCTGCCCTTGTGAGGGTTGTGTGTTGGGGAGTTAGACACAAAGAAAAAGTGGAATTGTGGCTGCAGTAAGCACCACAGCTGGTGTCGTTTGAGTTGATTATGGGGGCCCATCTTGGGGTCATTAGGGCAGGGAGGGAGTCCCGTCTGTCTGCTATCTCTGTCCATCTTCCAATTCCAGAATCTGCCTGGATCCTGTACAGCTTGCCCAGCAGGAGGTGCGCATGACGGTAGAAGGATTCTAAGCAGGGCCATGCTCCTGGGCAGCGGGTGCTCCTGGTGGGTGAAGGTTAGGCTCCAAGTTGAGGGTCTCTGGATGCTCTTTGCTCTCTAGCAAGGCCAGAGACCGCTAGGGTCCATGGCTGCCCTGGGCAGTGTCCTGCTCTCCCTGCCCAGAGGACAGTGGGGGCCGAGACGGACACAGACATCAGAGGGCTGAGAAGTGGGTTGCTCTGACTGGCCGGTGAGGGTGGGCGTCCGAATGTACCCATCTTGTAGGAGTGTACAGTCAGGGTTGGGGGGCTCAGGCTGGGAGTGGCCGTCTGGGTTGAGGCCTCAAACCCTTTGTCTCTGTGCCCAGCAGGCTCCAGCCTGAGGCTGCTTTTCGCTGCATCCCCTCTCCCAGGCCTGGGGCATCTGCACCAGGGCCTCCTCCTGTCCTTGGGCCCTGGTAGCTCCAGGCCAGCTTCCCTGACAGAGTGGCTGCTGCCTAGGACAGCTCGGGGTCTGAGCATTCCCGGGGCTGCATCTGGCACGGCAGCCCCGAGTGCTGACCAGGGTGGAGGTGGAGAAGCACCTATGAACTCCCACGACCGAGGGCCCAAGGGACAGGGATGGAGAGGCCTTGGCCTGGAAATGACCTCATACAACCTGCAACCATGGGCAAAGACTCACGCATGAACACGCATGTGCACGCCCTCACTGACACACGCACACACACTGGCCAGAGAGCCAGCTGGGGGGCTGTAGTGTGCCCGGAGAAGGAGCTGTTGCAGCCCTACAGGGTCAGCGGTCTCCTTGCTCCTGTCTCCTTGCCCGCCCCAAGGTCACAGTGGTCACACTCTGGGACTCTGGGCATGGTGCATTTATTCAGGTTTGAGAGTGGAGGAGGGCAGAGCTCGCGCAGCTGTGAGGCAGGTCCGGGCTGGGCAGGAGCTACTTCATCCTTCAACAGACGCTGGCATGGGGTGACCAGTCTGGTGGGGGAGATGGAGTCGGGATGGGAGCAGGGGACAGAGCCCAGGAGGAAGCAAGGGAGGGCACAAAGGAGGGGCAAGTGGCTTTGGGTGAGGAGCAGGAGGGAGAAAGGGGACCAGCATCGGGTCTAGGGGAAGGGGGTGGTGAGGGAGGCTGAGAAGGGGCAGAAGTTGTGACCCACAGCAGCTGCCCTGCCAACAGTCCCAGGTCCTCAGGAAGCCCCTCACTTGGCCCTGTCTGTCCCCATGCCCAGACTCACTGCAGACCCAGGAGGCCTGGCATAGCGAGCCTGCAGGTGCGTACAGGTGTGTGCAGACCAGCACGTGTGACTGTGCATGGGTAGGCAGCACGTGTGCAAGTGTGAGTGGCATGTGCATAAGTAGGTGTTCACACGTGGAGGCATGTGTTAGTGTGTACATGTTTGCTCATGCGTGAGTATGTGTGCATGTGGTTATGTACATGTAAAGGAGCAGAGGCAGGAATCAGAAGGGCATGGTGGGCACCCCTCCAGGAAGAGGAGGGGCTCAGGCTGACCTCGCCCTCCCACAGGAAGAGTCAGGCCTTGGGGGCTGGGGCTCTCTGAGTGGCCAGGCTGGGGCTGCCACCCAGGGCAGGCTGCTGAGGTCCAGGGCACCTCCTGGGATGAGTCCAAGCTCCTTGTGAGCAGGGATAGGTGAAGGGAGGAGGTGGCCCGGGACAGGGGACCCGGGGCGGGAGGAGGTGGCCCGGGACAGGGGACCCGGGGTGGGAGGAGGTGGCCCGGGACAGGGGACCCGGGGCGGGAGGAGGTGGCTCAGAGCCTGGGTTGAGGGCAGGGACCCAGGAGCCTTGAGACCCCTGAGTGCAGGCTGGGACTGAGCTCCCTGGGCAGACACTGAGTCCAGCCCCTCTAGGGTCAACCAAACTCACTCCTGCAGGCCCTGTGCCTAAGGCCCAGTATGCCCGCAGGCGAGCCACGTTACCGGTCACTTCTGGGAAGACAATGTTGTCATCCGAGAGGCCCTGAGCTCTGCTCAGGCAGACAAACTGGTCCAGTGTCCCGGGAGGCAGCAACCAGTTCCTGCCTGCAGCCCAGAGAGCCCAGCGTGGGTCTGGGCACTTGGCAGGGGGTTGGGGGCTGGGTAGGTGGGAGATTGAACTATCTATGCCCCCAAGTCACTCCAGGTGGGGTGGGGAGGCAGGGTCTGACCCGAAGCCCAGAAGGAGGTGCCTCCAGGGCCACACATGGGCCCAGGGCGGGGTGGGGGGCTTACCCAGCAGACTGATCCTGAGGATGGCCAGGTTGCTCGTGTGTCTCTGGGACAGCATCAGGGCAAACTGGGTGTAGTCACTGTTCACCACCCGGGTCTCCTCTCTGTCTGCCCCAGGCTCTGAGGGGGCACAGACGTCACATCCCTGTGGGTCAGCGCCCCGTCCCTCCCTCCTGTGACCGGCTTACCCACACCGTGGTCCACCGTGAACTGCCCGGGCTGGGCTGCCGGTATCAGCACATAAGACCACGTGTCACAGTGCCGGCCTCTGTGGGAGGGGACAGGTGGAGGCGGAAGACTCCGGAAGCTGGCAGTTCCATGCCAAGGTGGGCCCCCCAGGAGATTTCAGCCGCTCATTCAGAGGGACCCATGGCGGGAGTGGCCAAGCCTCATGAGTGGAGATGGTGTCCAACTATGTTGCTCAGGCTGGTCTCAAACTCCTGAGTTAAGTGATCCTTCTGCCTCTGCCTCCCGAAGTGCTGGGATTACAGGTGTGAGCCAGCGCACCCAGTGCCCACACTTTTTTGTATACTCCCCAGCTGGCTTTGGTCATTGGCAGCCAGAGTCATGATGCTGCCCGTGCTGGGACAGGGCCCATGGTGCACCTGAGCCACTGGCGACTGAGACCCAGGCCCAGGGTCCTCCTCACCCGCTTGGAACATCAGGGAGCCACTCACCGAGTCATGGCATTCCACACTTCAAAGCGGCCATTGTCACTTAGCTCGAAAGTTGCGGTAAAAGGGTTCAGCAGCGCCCTGTGCTCCGGCCTGAAGCTGTTGCCCGCCAGGCCCAGGACAAACCATTCCCCCTGGAACTGCAGGGGCGGCGTTGGGCAGGGGTGGTGGGAGGCAGGGGTGGCGGTGGGCAGGGTCAGGAGCCCCCTCCTGCCTTCTCTGGCAGCTTCTGGACCCCTCACAGAGCAGTGCTCCTGGCTGGGCCGGCGCCAGGGACACTGGCAAGAACCGGAGCCTACCCTGGGTCTGGCAGGGACATGGTGACCCTGGCCAGTGGCTGTGTGGCCTTCCTAAACCTCAGTTTCCCCTCACGCACAGAGGGAGCGATGGGCGGGGGTGATGGTAGGGAATTGGTGCCAGGAAGGTCTGCGCTGGGCCCTCCTCTGCTGGAGGTCGGGGGCCTGCCCAGGCCCTCGTGGAAGCAGGGCTGGTCCTGACTCTGTGGGCAGCATCCCACTGCTCAGCCACCAGTCTCTCCCTGCACTCAGACCCAGCCGGCTGCTTCTCCTTCCCTCAAAACCCCTGTACCTGGTTTCCTTGGAAGCTCTGCATCGGGGGCGGGAGTGGCGGGGGGCTTGGGGTCTGGCCCTGCAGGACTTTCAGCAAGGAAAGCCATAGCCACAAGCCACATGGCAGCCTCATCCTGGCAGCTGTTGGGCCTACGGGGACAGCGAGAAGGAAGTGGCCATGGGCAGGTGACCCAGAGACCCCCCTCTTCATGCGCGTACACAGCAGGTGCCCCTCCCAAGGGGGTGTGCCTCTCTGCTTCCCTCCTCAGGACTGGCAGGAGAGGTGGTGCCCAGGGCAGGCTTGGGGTGGGCTGTGTGGGGCGGGCTCTCCTCAGGTACCACCCACCCACCTATGGTCTCTTGGGTTCCAGCCAGGCGGGGTAGGAGGGGCCCCCAGGTCCACCTTCCACCTCATCTTCTCATTCCTGAGGCCCTGCACCCCTTCAGCCCCCTTCTGAGTGCTCCATGCTGGGGGTTCAGAGGCCCCACGCAGCCTTCCACCCTGTCACATAATGTTTCATCCCAGGCAGAGCATGACCTGCCGCAGCCATAAGGGACAGGGCCCAGCTGTGGCCAAACCTGGGCATTCCCCCTGCAGGGCCCGGGCCTGCCAGCCGCCCCCCGGCCCCACCCCACCTGGCTCTGCACATGCCTGATTCACAGCGTGGGCTGTGGCCCTGGCGCAAGAACAGGACCAGGGAGGGGCCCTGCGGCCATGAGATCGGGGTGGAGGTGCCCTGAGCAGGCAAGTAGGGAGGCTGGGGCCTGCAGAGCACCCAGGCACCCTGGTGAGGACGGCTGGGGGCATTTCAAAGGCAGTCTCTGCCCAGAGAGAGGGGCAGGGCTGGGAAGCCCCACTAATGGGAGTGGGCACCCCATGCTGGCCCTGCCTGAAAGAAAGGGTTGGTAGGCCAGGCGCAGAGGCTCACGCCTATAATCCCAGCACTTTGGGAGGCCAAGGCGGGAGGATTGCTGGAGCCCAGGAGTTTGACATCACCCTGCGCAACACAGCGAGACTCCATCTCTACAAAAAAATTTAAAAATTAGCGGGGGGCGGTGGTGCACACCTGTGCTCCCAGCTACTTGAGAGGCTGAGGTGGGAGGACTGCTTGAGCCCAGGAGTTTGAGCCTGCAGTGATGTGCCACCAGACTCCAGCCTGGGCAACAGAGTGAGATCTCATCTCTAAAAATGTAAACATAAAATGTAAAAAGAGGGCTGGCAGGGAGGGCATTGACAGGTTTGGGGCTTCTAGCTGCCCTGGCACTCCTTGGACGACGGGGCTAAGGAGTGGAGTCCCCCTTCCTGACTCTCCTCCCATCCACACAGGTAGCTGAAGCCTCTGGGTGCTGGGCTCCATGTTACGGGGTCACCAAGGGTGAGCCAAGGGCCTCCCACTCACGGTGTGCCTGGCCTGTGAGCCCCTGCCTGGGCCACCTCCTCCCCGCAGGTCCCTGTCCTGGCCACCCCCTCCCACCCCAGATTCCCTGTTCTGGCCACCTCCTCCCACTCCAGATTCCCTGTCCTGGCCACCTCTTCCCTTCACCCAGCCCTGCTTACAAGGGACTTGGGCTCATCCCAGGAGGTGTCCTGGGCCTCGACAGCCTGCCCTGGGTGGCAGCCCTAGCCTGGCCACTCAAAGAACCCAGCCCCCAGGACTTCAGGGCTCCAGGACTGGGCTCCGTCCCAGGCCTCACTGCCCACATAGAAGGGCAGCTTGCTGTGCCTTGTCTTACCAGCACAATGCTAGCGTTTCAGGAGGCTGGCGTAGGAAAAGAAAAGCTGGAAATAATCTGTTCATTCCCCTGAGCTCCCCAGAGGAGCCTTCAACTCTCCACCATCCCCCTGGCCCAAGCCAGCCTAGGAGCAGCTGTCAGCCGCCCCAGGGTCCTGCTCTCAGCTCAGCAGGCACCCCTTCCGGAGCCGTCTTATCGCAGGACACTGGGGAGATCTGGGATCACAGCCCCCGCCACTGACCCCGCCCATGCAGGGCCCTGCGGGAGGAAAACTGGGCCTTCCTGGCCAGCCCGAGCCCCACGGAGACTGAGCAGCAGAGGTCGGGTGGGCGCAGTCCTCGACACAGAGAGGCGTCCCTGGGCTCCAAGCAACGCCTCAGGCCCCATGCCCCCTCTCCCAGACCCACTCCTGCCGCTCTGGGGGTCTGTGTGTGCCTCCAGGTAGTCACTGGCTGCTGCCGTTAACCTCGGTGCCCCCCACGTCCCCTGCAGGAGCCTCCAGACCAGGACAATGGGTTCGGGGTGCCTCCTCCCGCCACCGCGGGGCAGTCGCAGGTGCTGCTCCTCCCGTCTAACGTGATTGGTGGAGGGTGGGCTCGTGACCTCCGCCGCCCAATCAGGGTCCTGCAGGTGCCTTTGCCTGGCTGGGCCGGCGGCTCCGGAACGGGCGCTGCAGGACGCGGGCCTTCGGGAACCTGCTGGGCGCCCGGGGGAGTCCTGGCTCTGACCTCGGCCTTCCGCACCGCCTGGGGTGGGAGGGCCGGGCGCGGGCACACGCCAGTGAGCCCAGCGCTTTGGGAGGCCGAGGCGGGAGGCGGTGCCCGGGAGCTTGCGTGCTACGGGGAGGAGCAGCTGCACCTTCTGCAGGGCGTCCTTGAGAGGCGGGAGGGAAACCGCTGCTTCCACTCAGCACCCTGGACCCCCAGCCCACCGTGGGGACCGTCCCTGGGGCCTCTCCCACCGAGCCCTCCCATCAGGTCCTCTCTTCTCTCTGCTTCCCTCCCCGGCACCCCCTGCAACCCATCGCCTTCATCTCTGCCTCCCCCTACAGCAACAAGGACAGACGTCCCCTCCACTGCGCGTTCCTCCGTTCCCGGAAAACTCCCGGCCTATCCTCTGCTCACCCTCCCCTCTCTCTTCCCACTCCCCAGGCAAAGATTTTTTCCCAGACATGGTCCTGGGCGCTGGGAGGCCCCTTGGGGGTGGGGGTGGGGAGGCAGGGGTGGTTGGCGCATGGCAGGGAAGGGAAGAGGGTGCCTCGTCCCCACATGGAGGAGTCCTGGCCACCTGTCCCTCTTGAGCACCTGCGTGGGCAGGGAAGACGGGCATGGCACCGACTGTCAGCCCTGCCTGTGGGACCAGGGGCGCCTGGGGCCCCACACAGCACTTTCACGTCCAGGCAAGGCGGGGGGCACCCAGGACAGTCCTGGACTACTGACCCTGCAGGTCTTGGGCAAGACTGCTAACAATTAAATGTTAGTTTCTACAGATTAAAAAGCTTTTTTTAAAAATAGAGATGAGGTCTCACTATGTTGCCCAGTCAGATCTTGAACTCCTGGCCTCAAGCGATCCTCCTGCTTCAGCCTCTCAAAGTGCTGAGATTAAAGGTGTGAGCCACTGTGCCCAGCCTGTTTGCATAGTTTTTTTTTTTGGCCAGGTGCAGTGGTTCATGGCTATAATCCCAGCACTTTGGAAGGCCAAGGCGGGTGGATCACAAGGTCAGGAGATCGAGACCATCCTGGCTAACACGGTGAAACCCTGTTTCTATTAAAAGTACAAAATATTAGCTGGGCATGGTGGCAGGCACCTGTAGTCCCAGCTACTCGGGAGGCTGAGGCAGCAGAATGGCGTGAACCTGGGAGGCAGAGCTTGCAGTGAGCCGAGATCACACCATTGCACTCCAGCCTGGGCGACAGAGCAAGACTCTGTCTAAAAAAAAAGAAAAGAAAAGAAAAGGTGTGAGCCACTGTGCCCAGCCAGTTTGCATAGTTGTTTTTTTTTTTTTTTTTTTTTTTGCTTGTTTGTTGTTGTTTAAATAAATTGAAACAGTCTTGCTGTGTCACCCAGGCTGGAGTGCAATGGTGCGATCTCGGCTCACTGCAACCTGCAACCTCTGTCTCCCGGATTCAAGTGATTCTCCTGCCTGAGCCTCCTGAGTAGCTGGGATTATAGTAGGCCCCCAACACCACGACTGGCTAATTTTTTTGTATTTTTAGTAGAGATGGGATTTCACCATGTTGGCCAGGCTGGTTTCAAACTCCTGACCTCAAGTGATCTGCCCGCCTCGTCCTCCCAAAGTGCTAGAATTACAGGCGTGAGCCACCGCGCCCGGCCCTTTCCATATTATTATTATTATTATTATTATTATTTAGTTTTTTGGAGACGGAGTCTCACTGTCACCCAGGCTGGAGGCAGTGGCATGATCCCAGGTCAAACAAAGCAATTCTCCTGCTTCAGCCTCCGGAATAGCTGGGATTACAGGTGCCTGCCACCATGACCAGCTAATTTTTGTATTTTTAGTAGAGATGAGGTTTCACCGTGTTGGCCAGGCTGGTCTTGAACTCCTGGCCTCAAGTGATCCACCCGCCTCAGCCTCCCAAATTGTTGGGATTATAGGCATGAGCTGCCCAGCCAAATTATGCAAACTATTTTAAAGAACAATGATTTTCACAGAGCTATCGTGATTTTGATTTTATGTAGTGTTTGAAATTCAACTACAGCTCATTAAACACGTCTGTGAAAATGAAATGCCTTGTAATCCTTGTGCTCCTCATCCGCTGGTCCCAGGACACACAGCCAAGTGGCCACGCCCTTCACTCAGTGCGGGAACCCACCCAGCCCTGCAGTCAGAAACCTGAAGGGTCAGGCTGGGCCACTCTGCCACCAACCACAGCACCAAGGTCGTTGGGTAGCTCTCTGGCGCCACCCCTCGGACACTCAGCCCTCCCTGAAGCTCGTGACCACGGCCAGCTACCCGACTCCTCCTGCCCCCAGATGAGACCCTCACTTTGTTTGGGGGATGTGGGGCCAGGCATGGAGGAGGCAATCCTGGGGCTCAGGCCTAGAGTCTTCCCAGCATTGCCAGCTCTGAACCCTGAGCCCTTCTGCTGCGCCCTGCTCTCTATCTCGTGGGTCTCTGGGACATGGGGCTGGAGTGGGGGCAGGCAATGCAAGGGTATGACCTCCTGGGCCCTTCTTCCCAGGTCCCAGCAGTCAGGGCCCCTGCCACCCCTTCCCACCACCTGACTTGCCTGCCCTCCTGGGGTCAAGCAGCTGAGTAAACAGGTTGAGCCCCGCCTGTGGGATGGGGACCCCGTTGGAGCAGCTGCTGGCTCCTCCCTGCCCCCACCCAGGCCATGTGCGTTGGGACCAACTCCAAGGTGCCTTCTTCTCCCACCCCTGCCCACTGTGGCCGATTGGTGGCTGACCCCTGGACTTTGAGTTCCTAGGGGGAGGGACCAGCCCACCTGGTGGCCCCAGGGCCTGGCACACAGTAGGCCTTCAGAAATGTTTATCAAACAAATGCCAGGGGCCACAGGCAGGGCCTGAGAGGAGCAGCTCAGCGGCCAGGTCCAGGCCCAGTGTGGCCAAGCCTTGCTGGGTTCCTGACTCCGGCCCTAGCCCAGGGGCTGCCCTGAGGGCAGAGTTTGCCCACCTCCACATTCTGCTCTGCTTCCTGGTTTCAGGGGGGACGTGGGAGCGGATGAGGTGTGCAGAGAGTGCAGTGGCTGTGGGTGGACAGCACCAACTGCTGCCACCGACACGGGCCAGCTGGTGCCAGCTCGGCTCAGAAGAGGCCAAAATGGGCAGTGATGGGAGACAGCTGGCCTCCCACAGGGGCGGAGGAGCAGCCCGGGGGCTGCAGGACAATGGCCCAGGCAAGAGCAGCCTTGGAGTGAGGTTGGACGCCCCCAGATCCCAGCAGGGCACAAGGTGGGCGTGTGCCAGAGAGGATCTCGCCTCCCCAAATCCCAAGAGCCTCTGAAATCAGCCCAGTGCCCACTGTGTGGGCTCCAGCCAACAGGGAGCCTCAGGCTTTTAAAGAGGTGGGGCGGGGGCGGAGAGGGCCTTGGTGGTACTGGCGCTGGTCCAGTGGACAGAAAAGAGTCAGGGAGGGGTCTGAGACATTTAATAAGAAGGTACCTCTCCACCCACTGTCCTCTGGGGCAGCCGGCAGAATATCCCCCGCCCCAGGTGGCAGGGCCCTGATCTGAGGCTGGGGTCTCACGGAGGATGGGCGGCAGGCATCCCACTGGCGGGGCATCTCTCAGGGCACTGACTTCTCAGCACTGGAGCTGCGCGCCAGCCTCACCGCCTCACTTCTGCAGCAGAGACGAGACTCAGCCGGTGGCAATGGCCCCCGTCACCACGCCACCATGCTTGCCCTGCTGTGCACTCACCGTCCAGGACGTGGAACTGGTCTGCGGCCTCGCAGAAGCCTGGGGGCCCAAGGCAGGGGTCAGGCTGGACATCAGCCCAGAGAGTGGGGGTGGCTGAGCTGGGGACCTGCTGGGGACACTCACCATACTTTGGGAAGTAGAAGATCTGGTCCTCAGTCAGGTGGGCCTCCCGGACCCGCTGCTCAAACCCACTCAGGACCGAGTCGCTCACAGGGAGTGAGCGGGCTGCGGGGCAGACAGGGCTCCTGGGGTCCCGGCACCAGGCGGTGTGGAATGGGGTCTGTGTGTCCCCTGCCCCCTCGGGGCCCTCTCCCTGCCCCCACACCAGACCTGTCTGTCACTACTCCTCCCTGGGCCCCTGCTTAGCAGGAGGGTCAGGATGGGAGAGAGGAAGGGTGTGTCCCCCTGGGCTCAACCAGCCCCCCCGGATGGCCCAGTGAGTGTGCAGAGCTTGAGCGCCTGCCTGGTCACAGAGGCCGGCCCCCACATACCATAGAGCTTCACTGACAGCTGCCCCGCCCGCTCCAGGTACAGGACAGCGAAATTCTGGTAGTCGGTCTCAGCGACAACCACATGCACAGCCCCTCGGGCGCCTCGGGCTGGGGCAGAGCCACGGCAACCATGTCAGAGAGCCACGGCGGCTGCGTCACCACCCACCCATGTGCCCTGCGGTCCCTGCCTCACCTTGAAGCAGGAAGCGGCCGAGGACTCCTGTGTCTCCATAGAGCTGGCGCACCTGCCAGCAGATCCCATCCCTGGGGGGGCAGGGAGGAGGCACCGCAGGCTGGGGGACCCCAACCAGGAACCCTAGTCCAGGCCACAGTCGGGGTGGGGTCAGGGGCCAGGGCAGGGCTGAAGTCCGGGGGCTGAGAGGAGGGTTGGGGTTAGGGTGCAGGGCTTCTCTGGGACTCACAGCTTTCGGAAGGTGCTGACAGCCATGGCTGTGCCCTGGGGAGCCACGTGCAGTGTGGTGGCCTCGGCCCGGTGGCCCTGCTCCTGCAGGAAACGGCAGGCAGAGCCCACAGCCACAAGGAGCCAGGTCCCTGCAAACTGGGGGCAGGCCACGGGAGGACTCGAGGGCACTGTGGGAGGGCCCCTCACCTGCCTCCCTCTACCCCCAAAACAACTTCACCTGCCTCCCTCTACACCCCCCATAACTTCACCTGCTTCCCTCTCCCCGCCAACAACTTCTACCTGCCTCCCTCTAACCCCTACAACTTCACCCTCTCCCCCCCCCACACAACTTCTACCTGACTCCCTCTATCCCCCTACGCCTCTCCCCCCACACAGCCTGCCTGCCTCCTCTACCCCCTACTTCCACCCTCTCCCCCACCACACACAGCTCCCTCTATCCCCTACAACTTCACCCCTCTCCCCCACAACTTCTACCTGCCTCCCTCCTACCCCTACAACCACCCTCTCCCCCACCACAACTTCTGCACCTGACTCCCTCTACCCCCTACAACCACCCTCTCCCCCACACAACTTCTACCTGCCTCCCTCTACCCCTACAACTTCACCCTCTCCCCCCACAACCTACTGACTCCTCCTACCCCCTACAACTTCACCCTCTCCCCCACACAACTTCTACCTGCCTCCCTCTACCCTACAACTTCACCCTCTCCCCTACACACAACTTCTACCTGCCTCCTTCTACCCTACAACTTCACACCACCCCACCACTTGCTTCTACCTGCCTCCCTCTACCCCCTACAACTTCTCTCCCCCCACAACTTCTACCTGCCTCCCTCTATCCCCTACAACTTCACCCTCTCCCCCCCACACAACTTCTACCTGCCTCCCTCTACCCCTACAACCACCCCTCTCCCCCACACACAACTTCTCTGCACCTCCCTCTACCCCCCTACAACTTCACCCTCTCCCCCCACCACACACAACTTCTACCTGCCTCCCTCTATCCCTACTTCACCCTCTCCCCCACAACTTCTACCTGCCTCCCTCTGCCCCCTCACTTCACCCTCTCCCCCACAACTACCTGCCTCCCTCTACCCCTACAACTTCACCCTCTCCCCCACACCGCTTCTACCTGCCTCCCTCTACCCCTACAACTTCACCCTCTCCCCCCACCACACAACTTCTACCTGCCTCCCTCTACCCCTGCTTCACCCTCTCCCCCACAACTTCTACCTGACTCCTCTACCCCCTACAACTTCACCCTCTCCCCCCACAACTTCTACCTGCCTCCCTCCTACCCCCACAGCTTCACCCTCTCCCCCACACACAACTTCTACCTGCCTCCTCTGCCCCTGTCACCCTCTCCCCCACACAACCTGCCTGACTCCTCCTACCCCTACTTCACCCCTCTCCCCCACAGCTTCTACCTGCCTCCCTCTATCCTACAACCACCCTCTCCCCCCACACACAACTTCTACCTGACTCCTCTATCCCTCTTCACCCTCTCCCCCCACTTCTACCTGACTCCTCTACCCCCTACAGCTTCACCCTCTCCCCGCCCACACAACTTCTACCTGCCTCCCTCTATCCCCTACTTCACCCTCTCCCCACCCCACACAACTTCTACCTGCCTCCCTCTATCATTCTAACCCCTCTCCCCCCACACAACTTCTACCTGCCTCCTCTGCCCCTATTCACCCTCCCCCACACACAACTTCTACCTCCCTCTATCCCTACTTCACCCTCCCCCACACACAACTTCTACCTGACTCCCTCTACCCCCTACAACTTCACCCTCTCCCCCCTCACACACAACTTCTACCTGCCTCCCTCTATCCCTACAACTTCACCCTCTCCCCCTCACACACAACGTCCTACCTGCCTCCTCCTATCCCCTACAACTTCACCCTCTCCCCCCACCACACAACTTCACCTGCTCCCTCTACCCCCTACAACCACCCTCTCCCCCACCACACAACCCCCTACAACTTCACCCTCTCCCCCCACCACACAACTTCTACCTGCCTCCCTCTACCCCCTACAACTTCACCCTCTCCCCCGGCCACACACAACTTCTACCTGACTCACTCTACCGCCCCCCACAACTTCACGTTCCTCCCTCTACCCCCCACAACTTCTACCTGCTGAGCATCAAAATTGGCCTTGGGCTGGATTGTGCTGATGGCGGATGGGGGCCTGGGTGGCCTCTGAGGCCTCTGGCCCAGCGAGCCAGCTGCCAGAAGCAGACTCAAGAGGATCACAGTCCCAGGGGGCAGCATGGTAGCGGTGGCAGGGTGGCAGGACTATGGGAGGCCAAGGGTAGCACCACCAAGTCCCAGGACAGAGTCTACTGTGCAGTTACAGAGCCCGGCCCAGGAAGTCCATGTCCATCCCTTGCCTCCCTAACCCCAGCCCTGGGCCAGCCCCACATCCCACCCCCAGCTTTCTCGTGAGCCCAGCTTCGATCTGCACTTCCCAGCAGGGCCCTGGCACCATGTCCTATGTACAAAGTCCGAGTTGACCTCTGGTTGTTTATCCATTTCCCCTGCACCCTTGATTTCCACTGACAGTCCTTAGCCCTTTGCACATTATCTTCCTTAAACCATCACCCAGTGGTCTTAGCTCCATGACCAACGTCACGGGGTTCATGAAGCCACTTGCTCAGGGGCCGGAAACAGGGAGCGCCAGAGGCGGGTCCCGAACCAGCAGTCTTTGAATGTCGCCCGCAGCCCCGCCCACGACCGCCGCTCGTTGGCCACAAGGGGCGCTGTTCCCAACGCGCCCGAGTGCGCGCAGGCGCACGAAGAAAAGCCGGCCAGGCCGCCGAGGCCCGAGGCGCAGGCGCACGAGGGGCGGACGCGGGCTGCCCGCGCTCTCTGCCGTCCTCGGCCATCGATGCCTCGGGGCTCGTGGCGTCGGGCCTGGCGGGTTCCCCGGTGGGCGGGGGCGGCCGTCCGAGCGGCTGCGGCGGCGGAAGCGGGTCGGGGCCGCGCGGGGCGGGGGCGGCGCAGCGGGCGGAGGCGGCCTTGGTGAGTGCGCCTGCGGCCCTCGGGGGTCCCGCCTCGTCGGCTCCGCCCGCCCTGGGCGACTGCAGAAGCCCCGAGGCCGCCCGTGCGCGCGTCCCCGCCGGCCGCCCCGAGCCTGCCGGGCAGGGCTTCTCCAGGGCCGCAGGGCGGAGGCCATTGCCCGGCCGCCCCGAGCCTCCCCTCGGCGGAAGCCCGTCCTCGGACGGCGCCCGGTGTCCCCGTGCCCTGCGAGCGGCGGTCCGGGCCCCGGCGGGCTGAGGGGCGCCCGCTGCCGGCCGCAGGAGGCCGGGGGATGGCGCGGCGGAGCGGGCCCGGCCCGGCCCGGCCCGCCGGGAGCTGCCGGGTCCTTGGTTGGACGGCGGTGCCCGGGCGTCCCCTGCAGACACCCAGCCCCGTGGAACTCCCGGCGGGACGGTTGGGGCGGGAGGAACCGGGCGCCCGCTCTCGGCCTCCCTTCTCGGGCCTGGGCTGAGGGCAGCCGTTGGTGGGTTTCAGGGCCGCCTGGGCAGAATGTCACGATGGACGAGGGCGGCACGCCCCTGCTCCCCGACAGCCTCGTCTACCAGATCTTCCTGAGCCTGGGCCCGGCCGACGTGCTGGCCGCGGGGCTGGTGTGCCGCCAATGGCAGGCCGTGTCGCGGGACGAGTTCCTGTGGAGGGAGCAGTTCTACCGCTACTACCAGGTGGCCCGCGATGTGCCCCGACACCCAGGTCAGTGGCGTGCGGGGCCCCTGCCCACGTTCTGCAGCCAGGGCCCCGGGTTCCTGCGTTTGGGGGTCAGCCTGATTGGGGGCCTGCCCCACGGCCCCGAGTGTCCATCCTCAAACCCTCACCCTGATCGAGGTCTGTCGGACACAGCCCAGGTCCCCCTCAGAGCATGGGGGCCAGAGGGTTCACTGGGTCACTTGAGGGGTGGGGGGTACAGGGGTCTCTGAGCTGCAGGGTTGTATCCCCCAGCCAAGGCCTATGCCATGGGTAGTGGGTTCCAGGGGCACCACGGGGCCTGCCAGGACTGCTGGGGCCACACTCTGACCTTGACTGCGAGGAGGAAGGCCTGAGCCCAGGACTGACACTGCCCACCCACAGCGGCCACGTCCTGGTACGAGGAGTTCCAGCGGCTGTATGACACGGTGCCCTGCGTGGAGGTGCAGACGCTGCGGGAACACACGGACCAGGTCCTGCACCTCAGCTTCTCCCATTCTGGGTACCAGTTCGCGTCCTGCTCCAAGGACTGCACTGTGAAGGTGAGGATGGCCAGGTGTCCTGCACGTCCCACCCAGCTGCCCCGAAGCACGGAGGTCCCAGGACCTAGGTGTTCCAACCGGGTAGGAAGGAAGGGTCAGGCCAGAGGGGACACAGCAGCTCCCTGCATCCAGCGGAGGGACCACAGGATCAGGAGCGGTGCAGGGCGGCACGGAGTGCTGAGGAGAGGGTCCCACACAAAGCTGCCTGCTCCAGGGGCAGGCTCCTATCCTCTATACCGACGCCCCCAGAGTGGACGACAGTGGCTTCAGGGGGTCCCTGCCCCCGGTGGTCTCTGAGCAGGGCTGGCAGAGCTGGGGCCTCATGGCGCTGTGGTAGCAGGCCCCTGCCCCGCGACCTGGCCAGGCGATCACCATGGCCACCCCTGCCGTGCAGATCTGGAGCAACGACCTGACCATCTCGCTGCTGCACAGCGCGGACATGCGGCCCTACAACTGGAGTTACACCCAGTTCTCCCAGTTCAACAAGGACGACTCGCTGCTGCTGGCCTCGGGGGTGTTCCTGGGGCCGCACAACTCCTCATCTGGCGAGATCGCTGTCATCAGCCTAGGTGAGCACGGGTGCCGGGTGCCGGGTGCCGGGTGGGCCCCGCCCCGCCCCGCCCCGCCCCGCCCCGCCCCGCCCCGCCCCGCCCCGCCCCTCGCCGACAGCCTGTCCAGCCCTGGCCTCCCCACAGACTCGTTCGCGCTGCTGTCCCGCGTGCGGAACAAGCCCTACGACGTGTTTGGCTGTTGGCTCACCGAGACCAGCCTCATCTCGGGGAACCTGCACCGCATCGGAGACATCACCTCCTGCTCGGTGCTGTGGCTCAACAATGCCTTCCAGGTGCGGGCGGGGTGGGGCGGGACAGGGTTGGGCTGGGGGCAGGGTTGCCATCCCCAGGGCCTGGCGCCCACCTGGCATGTGCCCCCTCCCTCAGGACGTAGAGTCAGAGAACGTCAATGTGGTGAAGCGGCTGTTCAAGATCCAGAACCTCAACGCCAGCACCATCCGCACGGTGATGGTGGCCGACTGCAGCCGCTTCGACAGCCCTGACCTCCTGCTGGAAGCCGGCGACCCGGCCACGTCCCCCTGCCGCATCTTTGACCTGGGCGGCGACAACGAGGAGGAGGTGGCTGGTCCGGCCCCCGCCCATGCCAAGGAGGGCTTGCGGCACTTTCTGGACCGCGTGCTGGAGGGGCGGGCGCAGCCACAGCCGTCGGAGCGCGTGCTAGAGACCAAGGTGGCCGAGCTGCTGGCCCAGGGCCACACCAAGCCCCCTGAGCGCAGTGCCACAGGCGCCAGGAGCAAGTACCTCATCTTCACCACTGGCTGCCTCACCTACTCCCCACACCAGATCGGTACACCCCTGCCGCCACGCTGCCCACCTCGGTCCTGGCAGCTTGGGGGAGGCCGGGCAGGGGTCCTGGGGGGCAGACGGCAAGCAAGTCCGCAGGCACAGCTGGGATCATTCACTCACCCCGGCTGGGGACACAAGCCCAGACCTGACCTTGTCTGGGGCCTGCAGGATGAGCGGTGAAAACAAACAGGCAGGCCCGCTGGCCAGTGAGCAGCTGAGGGGCCTGATTCAGGTCTGGGGCCCCCAGAGCAGGCAGTGCCCGTGGACCTCTGCAGTGCCCACAGCCCCAGAGACACCGTTGGGGTAGGGGGCTGCCCTGGAGTGACGTCCCTGGGGCACTGGGCAGGGACCCTCACCACAGCCCTCCCTGCAGGCATCAAGCAGATCCTGCCACACCAGATGACGACGGCGGGGCCCGTGCTGGGCGAGGGCCGGGGCTCTGACGCCTTCTTCGACGCGCTGGACCACGTCATAGACGTGCACGGGCACATCATTGGCATGGGCCTGTCGCCCGACAACAGGTGGGCCTCTTGCCAGTGTCCCAGGCGGGGTGCCCGCAGGCGGCCCGTACCTAGCACAGTGCCCCTCGCCCAGGTACCTGTATGTGAACAGCCGCGCCTGGCCCAGTGGTGCGGTGGTGGCCGACCCCATGCAGCCGCCACCCATCGCGGAGGAGATTGACCTGCTGGTGTTCGACCTCAAGACCATGCGGGAGGTGAGGCGGGCTCTGCGTGCGCACCGCGCCTACACGCCCAACGATGAGTGCTTTTTCATCTTCCTGGACGTCAGCAGGGACTTCGTGGCCAGGTGCAGGGCGCAGCGTGGTGCAGGGCGGGCGCGGGCACAGCAGGCGGGCGACAGGCTCATCCAGGCGCTGTTCTGCAGTGGGGCCGAGGACCGGCACGGCTACATCTGGGACCGCCACTACAACATCTGCCTGGCCAAGCTGCGGCACGAGGACGTGGTCAACTCAGTGGCCTTCAGTCCCCAGGAGCAGGAGCTGCTGCTCACGGCCAGCGACGATGCCACCATCAAAGCCTGGCGCTCCCCACGCACCGTGCGCATCTTCCAGGCACCTCGTCCGCGGCCTCGCGCCTTCTTCTCCTGGCTTGCCAGCCAGAGGCGCTGAGGGGTGCTGGGTGCACTGGAGCCGCTGGGACCCCTCGACGCCACCCAGGCTCTGTGGTTCTTTCCCGAGCGGGAGAGGTGGAGACGCTTGTAACAGTTATGCCTTAGGAAGGGGACAGCCAGGCCCCGCCACGCTCTCACACGCAAACCTGCTCACGCAGCTGTGATACTTGGCACAGGGTGGCCAGTGAGGTTGGAACCCAAGGTCCCCTTGACTTCCTGGCCAGATTGGGGTGCACAGAATACTGGGGTTGCCACTCCTCGTTCATCCCCAGGCTAGGGGTTCACCCACCCCAGCTGGCCTCAGCCTGGGGCACCCTCGGCTGGTCCTGCAGGGCCCTGGACAGTGGCCCCGCGGTGGCAGGGGCTGCTGGCTCTGGCAGCCTGGCTGTGGTGCGCCCGTGGCTTGGGAGCGGCCGGTCACACTGCTATGGGCCCGAGTGTGCTGCATGTCCACGCACCACCCGTTCAGGGCCCTGAATAAACAGTTGGCAACAGCACGTTGTCGTTCAGTCTCTGTCTGCAGGGAGGGAGACTGTGGGCACCGCTGGCACAGTGGAGCGGATTTTGTCACTGCTGACGGGTGACGTCACCGCTGGCATAGTGGCCCCACTGGAGTGGTTGTTGCAGTCACTGCTGACAGGTGACATGTGCGTCTGAGGTCATGTGCTGGTGCCAGACTTTGTCATACTGCCCTGTCCCCCCTCTGTGACATCCAGGGAGATGCCTGGCACATCTGCCGGGGCTGGCAGCATGCAGGGCCTGCTGTCTGATTCCAGGGTCAGTAGGCTGCGTTGCTCCCAGTGCCAGGGCGGCCTCCACAGTCAGTCCTGTCCTTGAGGGAGTGCCTCAGCTGCTGGGGGCAGCGAGGGTGTTGGGCAGAGCTCCTCAGAGTTCATGCCGGGGAGGAAGGGACCAGGGGCCCAGAAGTGGCAGCAGAGGTGCAGCTCCAGCTGGACGTTGCAGGCTTTGTCAGAGCTGCACCGGGAGCTCAGGGGACCCAGGGTGATGGTGGTGACAAGACAGCAGGAGGAGAGCCTGGCGTTCAGGTCCGCTGCCCATTATAGGAAGCACATGGAGCTTGTGGCTCCACACATGGCAGCAGGCAACCCCGTACAGAGAAAGGACGCAGAGGAGACGAGTGAGTATCGAGGTGATGGTTCCCGGAGCCACATGGGCTGCAGGGGTTGGTAGAGACCCTGGGGCCGAGCCCCAGCACCGACGGGGTCAGGGACGGCACCACTAACACAGACTGTGCCACCCAGAGGGATGGGGCCTCTGTCCCGCTAACTCCTGGTCTCCATCTGGGAGGGGACCTCTGCAGTTCATAATAAGACCCCCACCGTGGGCAAGAACAAGGAAAGGACGGAAGACACACCAAAGACCCCCCGGACAAGATGAGCTGCGCTGAGACTGAGACCCTCAGAAAAGAGCCGACAGATTCTGCAAACGGAAACGCTCCACGGGCAGGCTCCGAAGAATTGAGCCATTTCCTGAAAAGGGTTTAGCTACGTTCACATTCAGGGAGACTGACAAAAACACCTCTATGCACCATACAACAAAAGCGGGCACAGAAATGAAGAGGACGTGGACATTTCACAATAAAAAGGGAGCCAATTAGACACTGGAAAATGACACGGTGAGTGACTGCACCAAAAGCTTGACATGTGAGGCCGGGTGCGGTGGCTCATGCCTGTAATCCCAGCACTTTGAGAGGCCAAGGCGGGTGGATCACGAGGTCAGGAGATCAAGACCATCCTGCTTAACACGGTGAAACCCCATCTCTATTAAACATTTTTTAAAAAATTAGCCAGGCGTGGTGGCGGGCAACTGTAGTCCCAGCTACTCAGGAGGCTGAGGTAGGAGAATGGCTTGAACCCAGGAGGTGGAGCTTGCAGTGAGCTGAGATCGCACCACTGCACTCTAGCCTGGGGGACAGAGAGACTCTGTCTCAAAAAAATAAAAAAAATAAAAGGTTTGATACGTGGAAAGCACTGGACCAGACAGACTTGTGAGGACCAGGCAGCAGAAGATGGCACAGAGGAGATGAAATAAACACAGCCCTGGGAGGGGAATGGAGTGGCTTGCATGCCCCCACCCCATCTACAGGGTGGGGGTGGAGACCCAGTATTTAAAGAGAAAGTGACTGAATTACCAAAAGAACAGAAGTCCTCAGAAAATACGTGCTGAGGTCAGGCCGGGCCTGGTGGCTCACGCCTGTAATCCCAGCACTTTGGGAGGCCAAGGTGGGCGGATCACTTGAGGTCAGGAGTTTAAGACAAGCCTGGCCAACATGGTGAAACCCCTTCTGTGCTATTAAAAAAAAAAAAAAAAAAGCCGGGCGCGGTGGCTCAAGCCTGTAATCCCAGCACTTTGGGAGGCCGAGACGGGCGGATCACGAGGTCAGGAGATCAAGATCATCCTGGCTAACACGGTGAAACCCCATCTCTACTAAAAAATACAAAAAAAAAAAAAAAAAAAAAAAAAAAATAGCCGGGCGAGGTGGCGGGCGCCTGTAGTCCCAGCTACACGGGAGGCTGAGGCAGGAGAATGGCATGAACCCGGGAGGCGGAGCTTGTAGTGAGCCGAGATCCGGCCACTGCACTCCAGCCCGGGCGACAGAGCGAGACTCCGTCTCAAACAAACAAACAAACAAACAAAAAACCTGAGCATGGTGGCTCACACCTCTAATCCCAGCTACTTGGGGCTGAGGCAGGAGAATTGATTGAACCTGGGAATGAGCTGAGATCGCGCCACTGCACCCCAGCCTGGGCGACAGAGTGAGCCCTGTGAAACTGCAGCGATGAAACTCGTACACGTGGCCCGCAGCAGCTGCCGGAGAGCCAGAGAGCTGGGTCAGGGAGCTGGGTCAGGGAGCAGCAGCACGATCCCAAGTTTCGCAGAACTGGGATGACCTTATGTCCGTGACCTGAACTCTACGCAGCCGGAACACTGGAGGTGAGTGCTGGGGCCAGGCAGAAAGCCCAGAGCAGCCCTAAGGGCCAGGGAAAGGAACCGACGCTGATGGGCAGGGTCAGTGAGGCAATACCCTGGGTTTACTCTCTTCTCCGTTCTTTTGTGACCCTGATGGCAGTGGGAGTGGTGGCTACAGGAACCCATCAGAGCCAAACTCGGGGGCCAGAAAGTCCCTCATGGCTCCGTGCCGCTGCATTGAGGGTGGGACCGCCCCGTTAGCTTTTTCCTCCCCTGCCCTCCTGCCATACAGACTCCACCTTGGCCCAGTCAAGGGCACGTCACATGGGGGTGACTAGAGCCACAACTGTCTGAATGGACAGTGAGGGAGCCCAGCAGCCAGACCCAGCGTGGGGAGCTTGGGAAGCACCCACATGAGGTGTCTGTGGGTGCCGGGCTCACACATGGGGCGGCTGTGGGTGCTGGGCTCACTCACATGCAGACACGTGGGTCTAAGGGTCACACCACGGACTTGGGGAACTTCGGACCAGCCTCGGGCCCCAGACCAAAGACCAGCAGCTCTGAAGACAGGAGTCCATGCGAGCGGGAGCAGTATGCGTCCCACCCTCACAGGACCAAGTGCATGCTAACCAAAGACTTCGACATTTCCCACGGGATTCAAACACAACCCAGATCTCATAAAGTCATATTTAAAATGTCTAGAATATAACCCAAAATCACTTCACACACGAAGAACCATAACATTTCACCTTGCAGCTGCGCGCAGCAGCTCACACCTGTAACCCTAGTCCACTGGGAGCCCACGGCCACAGGGAGCAATGCCCGGGCCGCTGCACTCCAGCCTGGGTGATGGAGACCCTGTCTCTAAAAAAAATAAAAATAAAAAATTCAATGTGCAAAGGAAAAGACCCATAAATTCTATTTCCCAAAAACAATTAGTAGCTTTTTAAAAAAAAAAATCAACAAATTTTTATTACTTTTTAATTTTTGTAGAAATGAGGTCTCACTATGTTGCCCAGGCTGGTCTCAAACTCCCAGGTTCAAGCGATCTTCCAGCCTCGGCCTCCCAAAGCGCTGGGATTACAGGCGTGAGCCACCACACCCGGCCAACACAATTCTTAAAAGGCACTGGGATTCCTCTGCTTCAAGATCATCGCTAGGCTGGAAAAATAAAGCTTGTTCCACCAGAAATCACAGGTTAGAACTGAGTGTTCGCTAAGGCAGAAATTGTAGAGTCTAGTGCCATTTCAGGCAAAGATGATTCAGCTCTGAACCCAACATCCACACCTGCCTATCAGAACCGTCAGACCAGCTCGGAACAGACCAGCCAATTAGGCTTCATCAGACGAGGCCACAGTGCTCTTCCAGGATGCTAATAACCCCAAACAGGAGGTGCCGAAACCAAAATGAAAGACAGTGTTTGAGGCTAGTTGTCACACCGATTGTTAGTTCCTTGTTACGTCCCCCTTCTATAGTATTAATAAAGGAAATATTTTATCGCAAAGAGTATTTTATATGCCACTAGCCATGACTTTTTGTCATTAGTTACTACATAAATGCCGCCTAGTGCCTGCCACTATCCACGTGGCACAACCATATTATGTCTGCAATTCACTTCTGTATTTACAGAATCTTTGTGATTTCCTTAAGTACATTAGTGAAGGTTTAACATCGAGATGCAACCTAATATCCATAACCTCCAGTGTTTTGCAGACAGCAATGTAGGAGACAGTTTTTTGTTGTTGTTTTGTTTTTTTGAGATGGGAGTCTCGCTTTGTTGCCCAGGCTGGAGTGCAGTGGCCGGATCTCAGCTCACTGCAAACTCCGCCTCCCCGGTTTACACCATTCTCCTGCCTCAGCCTCCTGAGTAGCTGGGACTACAGGTGCCCACCGCCACGCCCGGCTAGTTTTTTTGGTATTTTTTCGTAGAGACGGGGTTTCACCATGTTAGCCAGGATGGTCTCGATCTCCTGACCTCGTGATCCACCCGTCTCGGCCATTTTTTCGCAGGAGACGGGTTTCACCATGTTAGCCAGGATGGTCTCGATCTCCTGACCTGGTGATCCACCCGCCTCGGCCTCCCAAAGTGCTGGGATTACAGGCTTGAGCCACCGCGCCTGGCCTTTTTTTTTTTTTTTTTTTTTTTTTTTTTTTTTTAGACGGAAGCTCCTGCTCTGTCGCCCAGGCTGGAGTGCAGTGGCACAATCTCAGCTCATTGCAAGCTCTGCCTCCCGGGTTCACGCCATTCTCCTGCCTCAGCCTCCCGAGTAGCTGGGACTACAGGGGCCCACCACCACGCCCGGTTAATTTTTTATATTTCTAGTAGAGACGGGATTTCACTGTGTTAGCCAGGATGGTCTCGACTTCCTGACCTCGTGATCCGCCCACCTCCGCCTCCCAAAGTGCTGGGATTCCAGGCTGAGCCACCGTGCCCGGCTGAGGATTGCACTCTTTAAAAAAGTTTTCATGACATTTTGGATTTTACAAAATCTGAACACCTTGCAATCATTGCAGATGAACATCACACCACGGCCCCGGGTAGGTGGGCCCCGAACAAAAACGAACA